ACAGAAGCATACCAGAGTTGTAGTTCTAATCAGCTGGTATGCTGCTAGTCTATGGTCCAGGCCAATTTCTGATCCTAAAAGGAATGACCTGTGTCACCCTGAGAAGATGCAATGACCCATATCAGGATGAGCTTCCCTATCTTTTTAGGCAGCTGTAGTAAAACAGAAGACAAAAGCTCAGGATCTGGGTAGTCCTCATCTGGCCCTATGTGGCTGGAAGGTTATTGTAATTGTGCTCCAAATCACCTCTAATTCTTGGACTTCTTGTGACAATCTCTAAGGGGTTCAAGGAAAATTTTCAAAGAAAATAGGTATTCTAGAAGTAGTAACAGTAGGCTGTTGGTCAGAATCCAGCCAGCAGAATCAAGAGTCACCTGAGGACTGTCATGGGAAGAATGAACTGCCCAAGTTTTCAGCCTATGATCTTTAGCCATGGCAAATTCTATAAGCTTTATCAGCTTTTGTTCTTTTATAAAGCATTGCTTTGATTGATGATGACCAGTTATTTATGAACTGAGAAGCTGAAATCAGCTTCCCAAACAGGCAAAGGGGAGCAATTGCCTCTGACGGCTAGCTAGGAGCCAAAAGAAATATATCCCTCTCTTAAAGTTCCTAAATTCCCTTCTATTGTGATCTTTGATACCAAGTTTAAGCTTAGAAAACTTAAGATAATTTAATCTAGGAAGCAAGGAAGAACACTTAGAAACAGAAATATTTGGAGGCCATATGCTTGCAAGAATCAAGCAAGTACCCTTAAGGAATGAAAGAAGTTAGCATAAGACAACAGTGAGCAGAAGGGAAGCATCCTAGCTAAGGAATCCAGGGCTTCTGTGACCCAGTCTATTAGTGACGCGCAAGAAAATGAGCCTATGTCTTTTTTGTTTTTAACAGAAACCTAGCATCCAAAAAAGTGGATGCAACCCATCTTAATAGCTTATTGCGATATAATTGGCATTCAACAAATTGCACATTTTAAAGATGTCCACTTGGTTTTTATGACTATAGCTCCGTAATATAGTTTGAGATCTGGCATGGTAATCCCCCCAGCATTGCTCTTTGTACTCAAGATTTCTTTGGCTATCAGGGTCTTTCGTGCTTCCATATGAATTTTAGGATTTTTTTTCTAATTCTGTGAAGAATGTCATGGAGAGTTTGATTGGGATTGCACTGAATCTATATATTGCTTTTGGTAGGATGGTCATTTTCACAATATTAATTCTTCCAATCCATGAGCATGGGAGGTCTTTCCATCTCCTGGTGTTTTCCTCAATATCATTCTTCAAAGATTTAAATTTTTCATTGTAGAAATCTTAAATGTCTCTCTGTCTTTCTCAAATTTATTACTGGATATTTAAATTTTTTAGGCAATTACGAATGGGAAGGTTTCCATGTACTCTTTCTCGCATTGTTTGTTATTGGTATATAGAAAGGCTATTGATTTTTGTAGATTGGTTTTATAAACTACCACTTTGCTAAAACTGTTAATCCTCTCTAAGAGTTTTCTGGTGGAATTTTTGGAATCTCTTACGTATAATATCACATCATTTGCAAATAGGGATAACTTGACCCCTTCTTTTCCAATTAGTATTCCTTTAATTTTCTTCTCTTGTCTTATTGCTGTAGCGAGAGTTCAAGCACTATATTGAAAAGGAGTGGAGACAGTGGACAGCCTTGTCTGGTTCCTGATTTTAGTGGAAATGCTTCTAGTTTTTCTCCATTTAGAATGATGCTAGCTATGGGTTTGGTGTATATAGCTTTAATTATGTGGGATATGTTCCCTCCAGTACAATTCCAAGACTTTTAACATAAATGCATGTTGGATTTTGTCAAAGGCCTTTTCTTCATCTATTGAGATGACCATGTGATTTTTGTCTTTGAGTCCATTTATATGATTTGTAACATTTATTGACTTAATGTACATTGAACCATCCCTGCTTCTCTAGAATAAAGTTGACTTGATCATAGTAGATGATCTTTTTGATCATCTATGTTCACTAAGGATATAGGTCTAGTTTTCTCCTTTTCATCATGCCTTTACCTGAATTTTGGTATTAGATGACACTGGCTTCATAGAAGGAGTTTGGGAGTTCTCCCTCTGTTTCTATCTTTTTGAATAATTTAAGTAATATTAATTGCAGATCTTTAAATGTCTGGTAGACATCTTCTGTGGATCCATCTGGCCCTGGGCTTTTTTTTAGTCAGGAGGTTTTGTATTACTGTTTCAATTTCTTATTTGTTATGGTGAATTTCATGTATAAGAACCAGGCAGTATCATAATCAAGGCAATGAACACATCTATCATTCCCAAGACTTTCTTCATGTTCCTTTCTATTCCATCTTTTCTACTCTTTTTAAGCTCTCACGTAACTATATACATCAATAGTTCATTCCTTTTTTATTGCCAAGTGGTATTATATTGAATGTATACATTAAAATTTGTGTATCTAATCATCTGTTATTGGACACTTGTGTTGTTTCTAGTTCGGGGCTGCTAAGCTCGTTACTGTAATTTGACTACTATGTCTTTGGACATAGGCTTAGTCACTCTTGAATAAATAAATACCTATGAATGGAATGGTTGCTTTGTGAAATAGCTATACATAGGAATTTAAAAGACTTTATGTGTCTGTGTGTGTGTCTGTGTGTATGTGCTGCAGAGGTACTGGATCCTCTGAAGCTGAAGTTACAAGTGGTTATGAGATGCTTGACATGGATGCTAGGTTCTCAACTTGAGTCCTCTCAGGAGCTGTATGTATGTGTTCTTAACTATGGAACCATCTCTTCAGCCCCTGTACATAGGATCTTTAAAAAGAAAAAAAAAAAAAAAAAAAACACACTACCAAACCATACCTGAATGGCTGTGCCATTTTGCCTCCTCACCAGCAGCACGTGAGAGTTCTGCTTGCTAACACTTGAAATGGGCTGTTAGGAATTTCAGCCATTTGAATGGTGATTTTTCATTATGCTTGAATGTATATTCCTCTCATGATCAATTCAGTTGTATAGATTTTATGTATTTATTTACTCTTTGTATATCTTCAGTGATGAAGTGTATCTTTAAATATTCTGTCCTATTTGTTGTGTTATTTTTTATTACTGGGGTTTTGTGTGTGTGGTACGTGTGTACACCTGTGTGTATGTATGTATGGAGGTGAAAGGGTGTTTTCAGGTGTTTTCTATCACCTTACTTTTGTGACAGGGTCTCTCATTGACCCTGGAGCTCACTCACTGATCCAGCTAGACTGGCTGACCAGCAAGCCCAAGGGCTTCTCCTGTCTCTACCTCCCCAGTGCTGGGAATTGCAGGTGCACAGCAAAATGCCCACCCTTTTCATGTGTGCTGGGCACCTTACTGACCAAGCCATCTTCCAGACCCCGTTACTGAGTTTTAATAGTTCTTAAAATAATTAAATACTCTTTATCAGATAAGTGGATTTTTCAGATTTTTAACAAAAAAAAATATGGTTTAAGCAATGTCTTTCAAAAATATAAAGTTTAGCCTGGAGATTAGGTTTAGTGATAGATTATTTGCCTATCATGCCCAGGGCACTGGGTTCAGTTCCTAGCACAACAGATGAATGCTTTGTTATATATTTATGTATAGTGTGTGTGTGTGTGTGTGTGTGTGTGTGTGATTTGCTGAAGTCCAGCTTATCCTGTCTTTCTCATTTTGAATCATAATTTTGATGTTCTGTCTTGAAAATCTTTACATATCACAAGATCATAAAGAGTATTCTCTTTTCTTGTAGATGATCTCCCAATTTTATAAAGACAGAAATAATTTTAAATTTAATAAAAGTGCTATGCGGTTTAAAGTAAACACATTATGGGCTCCAAATAGCCTGAGTCAGATTTTAGTTGTAAGATGGTCTTTCATCTTCTCAATTTTGTATGAGGAAAGACCAACAAATTCTTTGGCTAACTTTTGCATGCCATAGTTTATGATACACAGCAAAAAACTGTGGCTGTGTTATACAGAGTCATCTTTGTCTTACACAGAAGATCAAAGACTTCTTTTCAAAAAGAGTGTGTTCATCTGAAAATTTATATTGACTATTGAAAAAATAATAAATAATGCCTTACTTCTTCTGAGTTTGGACATGTTTGAGAACTCTGGTCAGAAGAAATGGCATCTGCCAGTCAGCAAGATGCCTCAGTAGGTAAAAGTGTCTGCCGCTAAGCCTGACTACCTGAGCTCCTGCCCTAGAACCCACATGACAGAAGAAGAGAACTGACTCTCAAGGTGTCCTCTGACATCCACAAGCATACCCCCCACACCTCCCCTCACATACCCCCCCACAAAACGTATACACACACTAATACACCCACACAACACATACACATAACACCCTCACACATATACACATATGAATACACCCACACACATACACACAAATATACACAAATGCATACATGCACACACTCAAAGATATACCACACACACAAAAATAAATGCAATAAAAATGTAAAAGAAAAAGAAAACGACATGTTCAGCAGTAAGTATAAGCAAGCTACTCAGTAGCCCACTGCTGTAATAAGAAAACTTTAAGTGGGATAGAGTTAGGGGAAAGGGCAGAGAGAAACCAGACTTTCATGTTCAAATTTATATTCAAGTGATTAAGGTCTGTGCCAATTGGGGCTCTTTATTCTTTGGTGTTAAACTAAAACTCAAAAACATGATTTCAAAAGTACTGCTCTGATTAAATGTTCTTCTTCTAATACCATTTTCATATATTAAAAGAGAGAATTCTGGCCCTGGGAATGTTAAGAACATTCTTATCTAGTCGCCAGAGAGAGTGTGTCTTCATGATTCTGATGTAATTCTGGAACTTCACACATGATGCAAGGAATTCGTTGCCTTGTGTTCAAACACTGTTCACAAGAATAGTTCTTAAATGCAGTCGGCCCCCACTAAAATGCAAAGTAACATTTTGCAATGTGTGACCAATCTAGTGAGCACAGACTGAAAAGTGTGCCGGCCCAGCCATGTGCAGTCCCCAGATGAGGAAGAGTGGGACTTCATCAGAAACTTATGTGGAAAACTTGGCTGACTCCTGCAGCATTGATCTTCAGGAGCCCAAAAAGGTCGATGACAATTCTTAAGCCTCAGCACTCTAAAAATACATTCAACTTCTCTTCACCTGAGAAGCCGATTTCAGTCAGGGAACATAAACTTAGTTTGCAGACTCTAATACTCTGTTGATGTTGCATGATCATTCAAAAGCCATTCTGAACTCCTGTCAATAGAGTTTTCAGAGAAATGAAGCCTCTCACTTGCCTGTTAAAAAGAGTACCGCTTCAGAACCTCCTTAACCTCCTCTTCCAGAGTGCATGTGGCATTATTGAAGCAGAGGGATTGCTTACCTTCCACTGAAACCATTGCATACTATTATGTTTATTTTTTTTTAAAAAGGAGGGCGGGGGCTGGAGAGATGGCTCAGTGGTTAAGAGCATTTGTTTTTTTTAACAGAGGACCCAAGTTCAATTCCCAGCAATCACGATGAGTGACTCACAACCACCTGTAATTCCAGCTCCTGGGAGATCCAACACCTCTGTCCTCTGCAGATACCTGTATTCATGTGTACATACCCCATACAGACACACAAATATATGCATAATTAAAAATAAAAAATACAATCTTTTTTATAAAAAAGAGTATGGGTTCCAGAGGACCAGCAAGACTTTATATGCTCCAAATTTGCACAAACCAGGGAGTTTGGATTTGAGTACCCCATGGAACCTTATATCCTAAAGAGGTCCTCTGTGAAGGCATACAATAACTCACTGGAATGTGGGAATTGAGGACTTAATTTTTTTCCTAAAGTATGTGGATGGCTGATAGCTTGGCTACAAAATAAACAAATAAATAATTTCTACCTTACTTAGTAGTAAAAATATTGCCTACCTTAGAGAAAAGGGGTCGATCCATCTTGGTTTGCTTTATGTTAATCCAAGGTGATTTGATTTAATAAGGAAATCACAAAGCCTGGGCTTTACAGACAAGGGTTGAACAGAAAGCCTGCCACTTGTCATCTGTTTGGCCTTAGCAAGCTTCCTGACGTCTCTGAAACTCAGCACCTTCACATACCAAAGGAGCTGCTGATACACAATTCAGAGGGTTGCTGTGAGCGTTCACCAGCACCTCAAGAGCTCTGCAAGGTACCCAGGAGGCTGATTTCTTATGCGTTTGTTCTCAGCACTTATATATGCCTTCAGAGCATTCAATGCCACATTGAATAGCTTTATGATTTTATCTTCGGACTTTGTCAGTACCCTGTTAGTTTGGAAAAGGAGCACATTTCTGTTCATCTTGGCATTATTCATACACCACATGCTTAGGACAGAGGAAGCACTCGACAAATACTTTTAGAGGGGAAGAAAGAAGAGAAGGGAAAATAGATTGGATTTAATAAAATAGAGTCAAATGATGAAAGGCACAGACTTGGAGTTAAACAGGATTTCAAATCCAAATCCTGTTATTCACTAGCAGGTGACTTTGGGCAAATCATTCAACTTCCACTTATAGAAAGAAAATAATTCCTACCCCCCACACAGGGTTATGACGGGGTGAAGAAAAAAGATTTTAAAAGATTTAGTAGGTTCAACCAGCCGGCGCGGAAGATCCGCAGACGCAAGGCCCTGCTGGCGAAAGCGCGCCGTATCGCCCCGCGTCCCGCGTCCGGGCCCATCCGGCCCATAGTGAGATGCCCCACGGTGAGATACCACACCAAGGTCGAGCCGGTCGGGGCTTCAGCCAGGAAGAGCTCAGGGTGGCCGGCATCCATAAGAAAGTGGCACGGACCATCGGCATCTCTGTGAACCCAAGAAGGCGGAACAAGTCCACGGAATCCCTGCAGGCTAACGTGCAGCGGCTGAAGGAGTACTGCTCTAAGCTTATCCTCTTCCCCAGGAAGCCTTCTGCCCCCAAGAAGGGAGACAGCTCTGCTGAAGAACTCAAATTGGCCACTCAGCTCACAGGACCAGTGATGCCCATCCGGAATGTCTATAAAAAGGAGAAAGCCAGAGTGATCACAGAAGAAGAAAAGAACTTCAAGGCTTTTGCCAGCCTCCGAATGGCCCGTGCCAACGCCCGGCTCTTCGGCATTCGAGCGAAAAGGGCCAAGGAAGCTGCGGAACAAGATGTTGAAAAGAAAAAGTAATGCTCTGTTGGGGCATTGTAATAAATTTTCAGTAAAGCGGAGAAAAAAAAAAAAGATTTAGTACTGTGCTTGGCCTGTGCCAAGCACTCAACAGCCTTTATTCTAGTTATCTTTACATTGAAACACATTCGAAATCTAGTTAACACTTTGCAAATGTTTGAGTGATAACTGTCCTGGGTTTGGGCCAATGAAACAAAATCCCAGGAATTACCTTTACTATCACTGGAAGTAGTTATAAAGAAGCAGCCTGATCCAAGAGCTGCCTGCAAGGCAGGATGAGCTGTCATTGCTAGGAACACATCTGATCTGACCCTGTTTGGTGTAGGGAAATTTAACTGGTTCCGACAGGCTTCTAAATGGCACTTATTTTTATGTTCTAAGCATAAGGGTAAGAGTTTGGAGGCTTTTATCAGTAAACGCAAGCTGCTCTCCAGGAGACAATGACTCATCATTCACTGCTTTTTTAAAAAAGGCAGAACACAGGAGCCAGCTCAGTGGATAAAATGCTTCCCGTGCAAGCATGAGGTCAGGAGTTCAGATCTCCAAGATTTACATAAAAGCCAGGCCCACCTGTAAGCTCAGATCTCAGGAGGTGGAGACAGGGACCAAGTCAAGAGGCCAGCTAGACTAGCCAATTGGCAAGCTTCAAATTCAGTGAAAGACCTTGCTTCAGTAACTAAAGGAAAGGTGATGGAAGAAGACACTGGTGTCAACCTCTGGCCTCAGCACCCATGCACACACGTGTATCAACATGTGCACACACACTACATTCACATACTGATGGTAATGTTAGAGGATTTAAAAAAAGACAGAACACAATTGCTGTGGCCAAAGGGCAGACTATGGTCTAGACTCTAAGGTATAATAAGGAGAGATGGTTTGTTGACTGGGGGGAAATGGGCTCAAGTTTCTGTCTCTCCAAATAGTGGCTGGATGAAACTTCACTTCTTCATGTGCCAAGTGAGAGTGTGTGCCTTACAGATGGAGGGGAGCATTAACTGACACTCATGGAAGGCTAAACATAATGCCTGCTATACGCTCAGTGCTGGCCATTACTACTGTGGCTGAAATTGTTGCCTAGCTAGCATTGTTTCATCTAGATAATAATAATATCATAGGTCCTAATATACAGCCTCCCTAGGACATTAAAACTAGCATATTAGCATCTGTCCATATTGACTGGACAGATGGCTCAGTGGTTAAGAGCACTGGCTGCTCTTGCAGAGGTCCCAGGTCCAATTTCCAGTGACCACATGGCATTTCACAACCGCAACATCCATACCTCCAGTTCCAGGGAATCCACGCCTGCTTCTGGTCTCTGTTGGCACTGCATGCATGCAGTGCACTTATATACATGCAGTGAAAACACTCATACACATACAAATAAATGTTTCTCTTTCTAAAACTAGCATATTATTTATCTCTACATTCCTGTAGCTGACATAATCATAATACTATAATTATCTTAATAGAATAATAATAATAAGTGCACCTGACATGTGCTTTATGGAGAAACTGGCTTTTTTGCTAAATATTAAAGAATGGAGAGCATTTAAGAAGTATTAGGCTACTAAGTATCCAAGGAATAAAAGCTGACATTTCTACTCTGATGCCTTTCCACGTTTCTAAGCAGTTTTGTAGCCTTCAGCACATAGGGCTTGTAGAAGCTTCTGAAACTAAAGGGACCAACCATTGTGAGGGATGGAGACAAAGGAATGCAGTTAGGCATGAATTCCCCTGCTCACCTCTTTCCCATATTTGCTTGACTTACTCAACCCAAAAATCCCTCAAGAGCTGATCAGAATGCTCAACATGCTGGAAATATTCGCTTCACAATTATTATATTATTAGTATTTATGTTGAAAACAAACTCCCCTTTGGGAGTGCTGGCTCAACTCTATTGGCACCTGCTGGATCCTTTAATATTTAAGTTCCTCCATCTTCAAAGATCCACATCAGAGTCTTTCCTGAGGCTGAAGACTGAATGTAGTTGCACCTGGGAATTTCCCTTGTGGCCAGAAAACCCAAAAGAGGAAAGGCAGGAAGGATTCATGCATAACAGAAATTCTAAAGGAAGAAGATAAGATAGGGAAGTGGGGGTGGGGTGGGTTCTTGAGTTCTAAAAACACAGGTAAAATTTTAAATTAGCTCCCCTTTATGATCTTCCCACACTACCATTAGCTCATAAAATTCTCTCTCTCTCTCTCTCTCTCTCTCTCCCTCTCTCTCTCTCCCCCCCCCGTGTGTGTGTGTGTGTGTGTGTGTGTATGTGTGGTGTGTGTGTGTGCACATGCATGTTAAGAAGAAGGCAGTAACTCAGAGTAGATATTTATATTGACTTCCCCCAAAATACTTTATGAATTTTATTTGTAATATAAATTATTTAAACAATAATTCTCAGACTTCAGTGAATATAAAAGGTGCTTGGAAGCTGCTGAAAATTCCTATTTCTGCCCTTAGAAAGCTTTGTTCTATACTGTTAGGAATTGGGAGTTTTAAGCTGAGAGCTCCCAGGTTTTTGGTTGGGAGGGTGCACTGTGGAATCCTTATTTTAACAAGCATCCCATGTCATTCTGATGTAAGTGGGCTTTGAGCCACTCTGAAGGATTCCAGTCAAGGGTTTAAGACTTGAAACATTAGTTTTCTCCTGCCCTTCTATTCACTGGGATAAGTTTTAGCTGTTTTCACTAAGTTTCTCCCTATGCTTAAGATTTCCATCAGTCATACTGGTGGATCTTTTTAATTTTTCCCCCTTTGAAAAACTGGTCTTTAGATGGTAATGTGCCTTTCCCTTGAAGAGACTTGGGCCAGATGTCCTGGAGACTACTTTATACTGTCCCTCAGCTAGAAAGTGTTCATCTTGAGGTTTTCCTCATCAGGAGCCCTTTGAACTGAGGAAAGTCAGCAGAGCTGGATAGTCCTATGAGTAACCCCTGTCTGTTGAATCAAAAGTTTTCACATAGCACGTGTCCAAAGAAACACAGGCCCACATGCCAGGAACCCCAGGGCTCTTGTATATGAGCTTATGCAGATGTGAGGTGAAGTAGAGACACAGGTGCCCAGTGATGAGCCCAGTGCAGAGCCTGCCCCATCCTGGTTCTGCTTTCCTGGGATTCGCCCTTTCTTGGCATCTGGTGGAGTAGCCAGGCACTTGTTCTGAAGGAAGGAAATTTGGTAACAAGAACCACAATGTCCTTTGTGGCCTCTATATTTGACATTGAGTAAGTTCTCCCTGTGGTTGAGTTGGCAGAAAAGCAAAGGAAGGATCCTGGACCCTGGGACTGGGCTGAGTCTGGGAAGGAGCCCTGCTTGGGATGCAGGTCAGGGAGGAGGAGAACCAGAACAAATGAACAGAGACAGTCTATGCACTTATTGGCTTGTGGAGACTAGTAGAGGCCTCAGAGGTACCCCAAACAACACAGACTGCTGCCGTTGCTCTGGGTTGCCCACCATAACCAAATGGTAAGGCCCTGTTGTTGAAGATACCTCACCCTTTGGTTGCAGGATACAGAAATCAATCTTGAGGTATCCAGGAGCTCCCTGCTGCTGAGCTTTCATAGTGCTAGAAGGTGCTATGCCAGATGCTGAGGGAGAAGAGATATGGTCAGCCTTATCCAGTGCTGGATCCTGCATGCCCCAAAACTGACTTGCCAAGCAAGATGTGCCCACTGGTGCAATAGTGACAAGACTTTTATGGGAGGTAACCAACCCCTCTCTTGATTAGATTTGAGGCCTGCTCCAGAGGAGGGAATTCATGCCTGGTACAGAAAACATGGTTAAAATACACACATGCATACACACATACACACAGAAATTTGAAGACCAAAAGGTTTTCTTATATGGTAAAGTAGCAAAGCAGTTCAAATAATTGTCAATGCCCCAACAGTCCTGTAACTAAGACACTGGGTGCTGGGCCTTCATCTCTCCAGATTTCAGTTTCTTCTTTCAAATGAGGTTCTGAAGCTGTTGATTTCTATGACCTCCCTCAGCTCTGATACCTTAAGAATGAATGTTCTGTTTGGCTATACCTAAAAAATTTCCTATGATCAACTCTTTTATGTTAAAAAGTTGGGTAGGTATTAGCGTATAACCAACTACCTCAAGACTACATACAACCATCTTGGTTTGCTCACAATGTAGTAAGACAGGACTTTTGGAAGGACTTAGCTGGGTGATTCTCCTGTGAATCTTTAGATGTCAGCTGTCAGCCGTTGGACTGGAGGATCTACTTGTGAGACTCTCAGATGGCTTCTTACCCCTAACCCATCTGATGACAATCTCTCTCTCTCTCTCTCTCTCTCTCTCTCTCTCTCTCTCTCTCACTCGGATGACTATGTGTTAGTCCCCCCTCTCGCTCTCTCCCCCTCTCCCGCGCCCACACACACTCTCTCTCTCTCTCTCTCTCTCTCTCTCTCTCTCTCTCTCACACACACACACACACACACACATACACACACCTCACCATCTACAGCCCTTTGGACAGCTGGTGCTCCTCACAGCACAGTCAATTGAAAGTAATCAGGCTTCTAACATGGAGGTCAGTGCCCCAGTCAAGACAGAAGGGATCTGCTCATCCTTGACCACGCAGAGCTAGCATTGTGTTGCTTTTACTGTGTATTCTATTGGTTAGGCTATCACAGGTCAACTAAGACTCAAGAGAACTGGAAACTCAGTCCCGCACAGAAGGAATCTAATATGCCACAGTTAGCCTTTATGCGGAAAGAAAAAAATTTCCAACCCTTTAAATCTATCAAAACCACTGGCGTATTTCTTAACTGGACTTTTGAATTTGTTTTTGTTTTTCCTGGAATTCTAAAGCGTCATTCACCTTAAAAAAAGCAACCTCTGAGGTATCAAATGCTTGCTGCATGCCCTCTGCCCTCTTTACCTACTTAATGATTCCTCAGGCTGATTAGGGATATGAAGACACTGTAAATAAAACAAAAGCCGTTTTTAAAGAGACACTGGTGACTGGGGGAAAGAAATTCATTTTTATGTAATTGGTTTTTATCTCTGAAAATGCCCAATCCTTTCTGTTTCAGAAAAGAGTGGAC